GGGAGTGTTGCCACAAGACAGCGAACACATCACACTTAAACCGGCATATGGGGACCCATACCGGTGAAAGACCCTACAAGTGTGAGCAGTGTGACTATTCTACAGCACTGAAATGTAATTGTAGCAAACATTTATTCAAACACGCTGATGAGAAACCCCACAACTGTAAGAAGTGTGGATACAAAGCAGCTGACAGGTCACACTCATATGAGAACATACACTGGTGAAAAGCCGGTGAAAAACCCTACAAATGTGACCAGTGTGACTATTCCAAAATCTCCAAGCCTGTCCTAACTTGACATACATTAATTTACATCGAGGCACCAACTCTGCAAATGTAAATATCTCGTACATTTCGAACGCACACTATGCTCTTAACTATAGTTTTGTTATCTTTATACCACCCTTTAGGATACACACCAATATTCAAAACATTAAGGCTAAATATATTATTTATGATATTATATTTTCAAAAACTGTCCTTTCACTAGGCTAACTGATACTTGTAATTTACTGCTTCCTAACGATGTGCAAATTTTGTATGAATGATTGTATTAATCTTGCAACTTCTAACTCAATCCACAAAACATGACGGACAATTCTTACATTATGGTCACGTTACGAAAACACCCTACATATGATTTACTGTTAAGATTGAGAAAATCAAGTTTTATAATAACTTTTAACACTAAAGTTTACACACGTTTTGACATATTTGTAGGCATGCTATATATAACGTTTCTAAAATATGCATATATAATTTATCATGCAAAGGAAATATTATGAATAAAGCAGCAAGCAATATCTTTCCTGAAACCAGAAAAAAAAATCACATGTGAAATATGTACTTCAATATCAGTGAAAAAGATCGCAACAACAAAAAAAGGATCAATTCACCCTTTATGTGTAAAATATGCCACTGGCCTACTAATAACTATGTACATATAGCCTGTACAAATGGTTATTAAATCGCGTTGTCCTTCTTTTGCACGCGGCGAGCTGCCAACTTCTGTCTCAGTTTGTTCTCGAACATGCGCCTTGCGCCCTTCTGCCGTTCCTCCATCCGTGCAACATCAGCTGTGTGCTGCTCCATTAACTCCTGAGCAGCGTCCCTGGCGGTCTGATCTAGCCGTGACTTCATCCTTCTGTCTGCTAGTTTTGTTTTGAGGATCGCTTCAGCACGCCGTCTGCCTTCATTGCGCACTTCCTCAATCCTAGCCGTATCGTCTTCATGTGCTTTGAGGAGGCATCGGGCCTGTTCCTGAACATCAGATACAGCAGGAGTAGTCGACGATGTGTCTGAAGACAACGTAGTAGAGTGATGTCGTGGTGTGACAGGTTGATGGTTTGAAGAAGTCACTTCACTTGTGATCTTTGGCCACAAACACTCTGTGACATCTAAGATGTCGCCTAAAGACTCCTCTATAGTTCGCAAGATTGTCTTTAGCTCGGCGAGTTTCACTTCACCTACGGGATACAAACCAATGGCTAAATTTAAATTGAGTTTAACGTAACATGGAAATGACAAAAAAATATTTATTTACAGACAATGTCAAGTCATAGCTACATTTTTTAGCGTTTTTAAAGATACCGATAGGCTAATTTACCTGCTGTTACATCATTTGTCGGTGCAGAATGGATCCCCAACATCTCCTTGAAGCTTGTCCAAATGTAGTCTACCAGATCCTGGTCATAGTCATCGTCAATTGAGGCGCGGGAGGCAATGGCATCACAGATGATGGTCATGAGGAAGTTGACGAGAATTATGAAGATACAAATCATGAAGAAAGTAAAGTAGACCGGGCCGACATATCGGTTTGCTGCCAATATCTCTTCTGTGTCAAAACTGGAAGAAAATCAAGTTCCATGCCATCAATTTATTTGATTAAATTGTTGGCTTTCAAAATGAAAGGCAATCTTTAATCACGCTATAAGCATGCTTTAGGCATACTCCTAAATCATACTGCATTTTAACAGTAAACGTTTTCTTTTTTTTCTTTGTGTCTAAATGTTACATTTACTGTAGCTTTACGTAAGGCGTACTTAAAGGTATTGTCGAGCATTGTATTAAATCATAGTTCACAAAGAAACCGTAAGAAAGTGAACAATGTCGGTCTTTTAATTAGTCATATTTCAAAAATTGTTTTTTTTTTAATTTCTTTCCCATCTCCATAGGTAAGTTAATGACAATGTGCCCAAGCGCTCTTGCCTTTTTTAACGTTCCTGCCAAAACTCTCAATTTGGTTTAAATTGTTAATACGACTATGGTGTCCAACAGAATCATTAATTTTATAAATAACAAAACTTATTTTTGCAACATACAAGTTAAAGACTTAGATATTGATAGTATACCATTTTAAAAATAGATACTAGATAATTACGCACCTGCCAAGCGTCATCTCGAACAAGGCGAAATTGGTGTGGATGAAATTAGTGAAGGCCTTCTTGTGTGTCCCAAATACAACCATCCCTGTGTTGGAAAAAAGAACTCGTTACACGCATATTAACAGCGTTATAAGGCACAGACTGCATATATTGTAATAAACACGAATACAAACAAACACACACTCGCATACATTGTGTCTCGTGCTTTTAGAAATAGAGTAATTGAATTCGAACTCATACACTGAAGGAACCAAAATACCTGAAGAGCTGAAGGCCATAAAAGCTATGGCGCTTACAAGTGAAAACCCGATCAGGTCGTTCTTCATGGCGCCTGGTAGAGCAAGGAAGTGTGCGATGGTCTTGTTGAACTTGACCACGCGGAGTAGCGCCAATGTGTTAACAAACACCACAGAGGCGAGCACATACTTAAAGGCGTCATCCCACCAAAACGATGGTCCCAAGTCGACAAAATTATCTATTCCGAGTTCACCTAAAGATATAGAGTGGGATGAGAGAAATGTTTACCACGCACCAGTTGGAACTGTAACTCTGTTTTCATTCATGCTCTGATAAAGGTACATATTACATGCATTAATGGGAACTCAATAGCACCATGTCACACAAAACAGTAACCAGGCGTTCATATATACCACATAAGAATTTCCAACAATATTCGTCTGTGTTACCAATGTGTCCTTACGCAACTAATGCTAAATTTCTCAACGTTGCATTGAAATCATGTCTATTGTGCACGATTTTGAGAACTGATTCACAAACTGCAGCAAAGGGTTATGTTCTTATTTCTGCAACTGCTTCTTTATTTTGAAACCCGCTTGCTGAAAATCATAACATACATATCAAATGACCACCACATTTTAAAAAGGATGAGGTATTTTCTACCAGTAAAATCAAATTACTAAAAACAAATTTGCTGCCATTATGACGAAACGCCAAGTCATCAAGTAGCCGTTCATGTGATTTTCTTGGGCAAATAGTCTTGATATTGTATTCCCATCAAACTCAAGGCTGTATGATCAGACTAGGACTTCTATCGTCGATGACAAAAGCAACGGCGTCAATTTATTTGTAAAAACAATATAAGGTAATGGCGTAATATGAGGTACAGTAACGTAGTTATACCTGAACTTATAACATGGTTCACCATCTAACATTTTGAACATTCAGTCAACCACCTCACCCCCATGAAACTCCTTCCTCTTCGCCCCCGCCGTTCTGCTTCGCCCCCGCCCCGTTCTGCTTCGCCCCCGCAAAAAAATCTGCTTCGCCCCCGTCGTTCCTCTACGCCCCCGGCGCAATTCTGCTTTGCCCCCGTCCTTCTGCTTAGCCCCCAATGGCGGCACAGCTCACAGTCGACACGAAAATCGTCTGCAAAATAACAATAAAGGCTGTGCCGCCAAATTTAAAGTAGCCCATGCTCCGGCAAACATTCTGGACCACCTTTCTGCCAAGTGGCGTTGCACAAATCCTTCCCATTCAAAAGTTTACCCCTACCTCACGGCCCGTCAGTGGTTCTTACGTTTATAAGTACTGGCGGGAAATTTCACTCACGGCTGTACTTATAAACGCCAGTACTTATAAACGTAAGAACCGCTGACGGGCCGTCAGTGAATTGCGCCGGGGGCGTAAAGGAACGACGGGGGCGAAGCAGATTTTTTGCGGGGGCGAAGCAGAACGGGGCGGGGGCGAAGCAGAACGGCGGGGGCGAAGAGGAAGGAGTTTCATGGGGGTGCACCTGTATTTCTCATATGGCCAAAGCAAATTCAGGGGTTCTATATATCAACCGTATACAAACCTGTCGCCTCCACTATCTTGTCCAGAGCTTCAGATGCGAACTGGTACCTTATTCCAAAGGTACAGATTGCAATTGCAGATACCAGTATGCTTAGCGATGCCATCAGATTCCAGATCGAACCGAAAAACGTCATCCCATACTTCTTGACAGCTATGGCTTCTTTGATTAAACCAATCAGAAACAGCAATATGAAGAGAATGTGGGCTGCCATCATGCCGTAATCAGACGTGTTTTCGTACTGGAATAGTCTTTGTGTTCCTACAACTGTAAATGTTGAAAGATGACCGATATCCTCCTGATGCACGGCCATTTTCAAGATGCTAAACAGTTTGCGAGATGGATAGTAGAAGGACAGTTCCAGATCCAGACGCTTTGTGTATTTGTCTATCCAATGGTTGCGCTGAATATTATCCAATGTGCGTGCGGCCTCAGTTAGGGAGGTTGGAAGATTCATGATGTATTTTGAGTTACAGTCTTGGTTGTATGTATCCGTTTGTGTGGCATTAAACTGCCAACATGCATAGGAAGCGTTTCTGATATTAACCATCCACCCAGTTGGGAAACTGTCTACTTCCGCAGTATCTGCATAATGTAGAAAACATACTTTAAATAGTTGACACTTGTGACGTTTCTTCTCTATCAACAGGAAAAAGAGGGAAAGCACAGCGATGGTTTAAGTGAAAGTTAATGAGACTGTTAGCTGGTAGTCCAGGAAAAACGCATTCACTAAGAACTTCCTAATCGACATATCTGTATCTAGTTTGATGAAAACATATGTAAGAGGACAAGTGTGTACACGTAAACATATTATAACGTTTGTAAATACTGTTGAAATTCATCATCATCTTGTTAGGTGAATAGGCATAATAAAGAGATACCTAACAACCCAATCAAAAACAGATGATACTACTACATGCACATGTAAGTAGTACTGCACACCTGAAGCCGGTGCTTTTCTTATCTGAGTAAGACGTAGCGGGCCGATTCTGAAGGCCTCGGTATAAAGTGGAAACTGTCGGTCTAGATACATCATCTTCCACCCGTTATACCAGAGCGAGGGGTATAACACAGGCAACATGACTTCCTCAATCCACGTCCAGAAATCATCGGGAGTTGTGATCTGTGTAAAATGAACATATAGGTTTAATAATGACACAACTAATGCATGGCATTAATAAAAATATATATACTGAAGAATGTCTAAATGTTGGAAATCCTCCAATGATTGTTGAATCCCATATTTAATTTTCATCCCATACTAATCACTTTTGTATTACGTTGATAATTAACCAGTTGCTAATACTTTGTGCTTTGTACATTACTTTGAAAATTTATTATGTCAGTAAGTCATTTATCATAACTGAAATGTTTTGGGAATTGATCAGACAACGAATTATTGTTAACTCCATAAAAGAAAACAATAATTACTTATATTATGACAGAAGACTTTTGCAAGCTTATTATGATCCTTCTGATGTTTTTATCATCCCTACCGAATCGAAATCTTCTGTGAGCCTGCTGGACAGAGTCTGTGACGCGTGGAAAGCGAGCGGGTCTTTATCCTGCTGACTGATAAAGAACAGAACAGCGACAAACAGGAACAGGAGGCTGTACTCTCTCAGCAGCATGAGGAACTTTTGCCGCTGCTCGTTCTTTCTCTTCATTCTTTGTACGGAGGCTGCTCCAGGTGGGTAGACCTTTCTTGAAGCTAAAAAAATATACATAATGTAAACACATACATACATGCACATACAAAAATACACCCACACACAAACATATAATTCAGATATCTTCCATGTCCCTTTTTATCATTATTTTTCTGTCACAGGCATAAAAAAATAGTTAAAATTGAAGTTTAAAATCGAAGGTTATCCCAAAAATATTAAAAAAAAACTTTGTACCGGCCTTGTTACATAAACTGTTAATAAAATTTCGATGACAGAAAATATTAAAGAAAAGAAAGAGGATACTAACGGCTGATAGTTTCTTCCAAGGTTTAATCAAGAAAGTATTCGGTGTGTAAAATGACGGTATTTTGTATTGGGTGATCTAAATAACTTATGACATAAAATCTGATAACAAAAGATTACAAAAGTGCTTGCGTTTGTCTGGATCTAAATTGTTTAAATATTGAGAATATAAGGTTACCTTTCAGGCCTAAAAGGTGTACACGTAGTTCTTCTTTTTTGATAACATATGTCCTCTGCTTTTTGGAAGTTGATGGGTTACAGATCAAAGCAGCTATTAACGCCAGGATAAATACCTGTTGAGAGAACAATAGCGAGAGTTCTTCTCTTGCTAACGTATCTGGTAAATCAGTATTAAAAAGCGAGAAATCACAAAGGCTATAAATACAGTACATAAATGAGTACCTGACCAGTCTCTGCAACAACACTTGACAAGCAAAATGAGAAGCAGAAGGCCTTCAGCCATGCTTCGCTCTTCTCCTTGCCCCAGTCCAAACCATACATGATGACAAAGAAAGACGAGACGATGGACACAGACACCACTATCAACCACGCCACATACTTCGTCCAGCGTGACAAGCGTTTTCCTGCTTTTATAACATAAAAACAAATTAAAGTTATTATTATTTTGCAAAGAAAATAAAGTCATTACTATAATTGACTATGTCGTGTCCAAACATGAGTTATGTTCTTAGTTATTACACACATAAAAATATAATCTTTTTTGGTGTTAAGGACTTTATAAAGCAAACTGTTGCAAAACTTGTAATAACCAAAGCATGCAGATACATTTGTTGATAAGTTTGATATTGAATTTTTTAATGTTTTGTACATCTTTGCAACACTAGCAATAGTCAACTTTAACCCTAAACAGTACACCTGGGGTCCGCGCGGACCCCAGCACTATATATTCTGTAATATCTTTTTTGTTTCTAAAGATTTTTTTCTGAAATTTTAGGTAATTGTCACCCACAAAGTTGTCTCTCAATACACTGCAGAAAACTCCGTTTCTACCGTTTATAAGAAAAATTATATCTGATTTTCTTTTGGGGTCCGCGCGAACCCCAGCCGGCTTTTGATCATAATGGATACACTGGCGTTCTTATACATTACCTTATTTCCGTTTGTATATGTTTTTATGCACTCATCGTATGTCTACCAAGTTTTCAGAGAATGGTGTAGTAATAGAATTAAATTTTAATAACTTTGGTGTAATTATGACGTCATATGACGTCAGAGCTAATAATATAGTCCGCCATATTAGATTTTGACCAATGACGTCATCAAATTAGCATATTCTATGCATATTTAATGATTTAACTTTTATTTAATTATGTAAGATGTTATTAATGTTGGAAAAGAAGTGTAATTTAATATAAAACTCAGAAAATTTTTTGTTTAAACCAAAATTACTTCTATTTTCATAAAAACTGCCTGCTAGAAACCCGTTGCCATGGCAACACAAAAAAACATCAACTTACCAGTAATAAACTAATATGAACTTTTTCCCAGAGACATTTTAGGAAAGGTCTCCAAATTTGATACTTCTAGCGCAAGCCGTTTAGCCGCTATCTGAGATCAAAGTTGGGCCTCAAAAGCCCATTCAGTCTGAAATGGGTTTAAAAATCGGGTATTTCTTCTCGTCTTCTTTTCTTCACCAAAAAATAGAAAAAGTTCAAAATGTATGATTTTTGTATTTAATGTGGACACAGAGGTTCCCACATCAGTTTGCAAAACAATTGAGCTGGTAGCATGTTGATAAATTCTAAAAATTAGCAAAAAACTGTTCTGGGGTCCGCGCGGACCCCAGGTGTACAGATTAATCAGTCCGGGAAGGTGTTCTGTTGAGGGTTAAAACTTTAAGGTTTTAGTCAAATTTTTAAGAATTTGTTTAAAATTGTATCTAATGATTGAAAATAAATAAAAAAATCATACCTTGCTTAGCACTGCGTTTTATTCCGGGAACTAAAACGGGAACGGGTATCTCCTTCCGGAACATCAGAAGCGGTATTGTGGTAACGGGTATTACCAGAACAGTAGTCACCAGGATGACGTACAACTCCTTTTGTAAAGTTAGAGAAGTTTGAGATTAATAATTGTAATGATAATGTAACTGTGGCTGTTAACAAAGTTTTTTAATACTTGTAAATGATTAGGGACAGTGTTGGATACGCTGGCAGCCTAGAGGTGACTACCGGAGGGTTTTAGGTTTATCGCCATCTATATTGTATGAATAGACTTATAGTATCAATATTTCAACTGCCAGTTAAGTATGTGATCGATCCAATATGAATGTCCAATTCTTACTAAGAGTTTCACAAAGACAAAGACAATCAACCATGTTTTAAGATTAACTATTAGTTACTAAAGCTAAGTGTTTTAGCTCTCCTGCTGCTTCATTAGAAAAGCAATGCTGTGCATTTTTAGCTAATGTAATTAAATAGGCAAATAGTAACATTAAGAGTAGTGTTTTCTTACTTGTAAGGTGAATGTCACAAACCCTAGGTTATAACCTCTGTCGCTGGTGGAATCGACGTTGTTATCCCTGTACCACATGGCGCTGGCCACCATCATACTGTTTACAATAGCCCAGCAACAAGATAGTCGTTCTGACTTGGAAAAGCTGGACCCTACGAAACAGGTAAAAATTCAGGATATATTTCTAATAATTTACTATGATATTTTCTTTATATATTTATCCAAGTCTATAATTAAATATACGGTAACTTTCTGTTCTCTAGGTAATGTTAGAAGATATTGAAATAATCACCAATAATTCTATGTTTAATACCTTCGGGTGTAACTATAGCAGAAGTCCACATGTGTTGGTCGTAGAACAGTGCGTTAGTGTTCTCGCGAAGCAGTGTACTGAAAGATTGCAGTTGTTCTCGACTCGCCGCATGTAGAACCTTTTGAACCTGGCAATCACCTCTCACGTCGGACAACCAGTCATAACAAACGAACTGGTAACTGCAAATTAGATATTATTAATGTCCCAATGCCATATTTTTTATGTCCCCTTATCATTACCAGTGCAATATAACATCAATCAGCGTCGACCGATAAATGGGAAATTAGCATCGGTGACCCCCCCCCCCCAAAAAAAAACACTCGTTCTGTTCGAATAACTTCAGCCACATTTGTCTTCAGTTACATGTACACATTGAAGTACCGTCTATCGTCCAACAACAAAGTAATGTATACACAGATCTTACACTATGTCCGTTTTCAGATCCTTTACAAGTACGTCTCTCAGGAACCAAGACGCAGCGTCACCACCACCAGTGTTGTCGTGCCAGATATGTATTAGTTGCAAATTCCCCAGTGGATTTTTCATGGGCATGATAAAGTCATATGACCCACCCCGGATCAATGACTGAAAAACAAATGATAAGATTAAATAGGGATATGCCAATGTATGAATTTTTCAGGAAGAAAACTAAACTGCCCTCTGGCAATTGACGCAAATCTTAGACAACATTAGCAACAACGTTTAATGTTATTAAGGATAGAAAATCAATTATTGAGTAACAACGTTTAAATATGCGATGTGGATATCAGGAAACCAACCGGCCAGCATGCGTATTACGACAACAAACGAATAAAAAATCAAACTCACCTCTCCCCTAGGATTCAACGTTTTGACTGCCGTCTTGCCCATTGCACCGAACACTTGAAGCCCAATCCGTGCCGAGGTTCCAGCACCAAACATAGAACCAGTGTTAACGGTGATCTGGTATAGGTATGGGGATGGCATCCTGTCTGGTGGAAGGATGGACAATTGTGCCAATCGTTCCTTTCTGTTTGCAGCTGTTGAGTCATGACCCATCTTTTCCTGGTGCAAAAACATAGGAGTAAAATAAGGAAGAAAAAAAAACTGTCGAATTTGAAAGCAGGGATTTTACAGTAGCCGTATTGGTAAGGTCACAATGTTGGCAGTCAGGAGGACACCGGTTGTAGGGTCATACCTATGACATATGACCCTGGATTGATAAAAAAGCTACCCCACATTATCGTTACACCTAAAGGCTTCTAGGCATTCTTCTGGGCGTCTGGAATTTAGCTGGACCTCTCACTGGGACACGCCTGAGAGAAAGAAAAAGATGCCCACAAACTACTGGGCAGAATCGTGACCTTACTGTTACCAAGGAATAATGTACTTACTCCAAGACGTTGAAAGTCTACATTTAGGATGATCATCAACATTAGGTAGACAGCCCACTCGCCGATAACCGCGTAAAACACAATGTTGCTGGTCAGGCTCTCAGGGTTTCCAAAGACGCTGTCAAAGTCAATAGAATTTGGAGGAAAGTGTACACTGCCACCAATCACAGCCTTTGGTCTGGGGAAGCTACAATTACATCTGATTGCACTATTGGAAAGATCCAAGAGAACCTAATGACAAAATAAGGATAAACTTAGTTAATCAAATAGTATTAACTAGTCATTCATCATTATATCAAGTGCAAATTTATTAGATTCGTGTCCTCCGGTTTGGATACATCCCGGTTTGGGTACATGTAGGTCTTAAATGATGGCAAAATTGTTATCAGACTCAGAACAAGTTATTATTCTGATCTATGTAAGTATATATGGATCCGAAAGTCTACTTCATTAACGAACCATAATGGGGGGGTTGTAGACTTAACAATGTTTGGAGCTGACAGTTTTTGTTTCAGATTTTTACCCGCATATCTCACCATTGTTGTAACGATATCTAGGCATGCCACAATTACTTTTCCATGACTTATATTTGACGCAAGAAGAAACCTAGACTAAAGATGCATATATTTACTATATACTTTAACCACACGTCATCATTATCAAATTCTTTGATATCCGTATGAAGTTTGCCTACCCCACATTCGGTGTTTCCCCATTTCTCTGACGTATAATCCCAGCTTAAACAACTGACTGTTGATGCCCGCAGTTCGTAATCCTCAGGTGAAGGGACAGTTCGCTGAAGAGTTCGAATTCCTGAACGATTTAATGTTATTGACACATTAGTAACCATTTTAATTCAAACTATTTTCAAGTCTATTGTCAAGAATAGAACTGAAAACGAACTGTAGTTGTGTAAGTTGTGAAAGAGGTAATTAAAACTGTAAACACCAGCAAAGAGCTGAGGTGAAATCAATATTAAATGTTGAAAATTCTTGTATATAGAAGTCTTTATTCATGTTCTGCAGTGGCCAACATACGCCACGGTGAGTAGGTACCTGATGTCTGTATCCCAACGTACAGTTTCCCCCGGCGTCGGTTGATATCAGGTATCCATGTTCGCAAACTGTCTGTTTCTCGGTGCCAAGCCAGAACAACATCTTCAACCATGACCATTTTCATGTCGTCATACAGCTCTTCTGTCGGCGGTGAGTCGTAACGGAAGAAGACCATGTAGGCTGCAGCGTGATCCCACCACGACAGCTGCATCACAACCACAGCCGCAGCATCCGGTACGTCAAACGCATGGTACGCCATCGTCAGGTTTCTTATCCTTAGACCATCTGCACCATGACTTGTGAACTGTGTAGCAACAAATCCATCTTCCAAAAGGGCTCTGCGTCGACGCCTCGGTTGCTCTGTTAATCCTAGTGCTACTGGCATCGACAGATCTAGGTTTAAACCGCAGTTGTCGGTGTGCTGATCCCCCAATGAAAATATAACTATGGGTGTGGTGACATTTTGCCCAAAGGTGGATGAGTTCCAGGAAAACAGGTTTCTCTCCATCACTACCATCTATTAATGAATATGAGAATATGATTAGTTTAACGTTTGCATATTTTGAAATATTCTATATTTTTTTTGCATTTTTATATTCTAAAGCTACACATTTTAAACGGTTAATTAATGCACAAAAAATGTTCAATTATTATAAAATACTATGCTAATTGTTCACATTATCCGTATGTAAGTGCTTGCACATTTTCTTGTTTTATTTTATGATATATATTATATATTTTGTTTTGCATTGCTGTATGCTTGCAATTTAAAGATTGTTTGATATAAGGCAGCAAATTTAAGGGGCAAAAATTAAAAAAAAATGTGTCTAACCGTAGCATCTAAACTGCCATCAAACGAACAGTTGGTGACAGAAGCAGATACATTGACTTGACCATAACGAAGTATCACGTTGTTACTGTTAATGTGCATATTGGTTGTGGATCTTGTAATCACTACGATGGCATTGTCGTCTTCAAATGCCGCCACGTAGTCCTCTAAATATGGCAACATGGCCAGTAAAGAGTTTACCGCCCTGTCCATGGCTTCCGTCATACACAAGCCAGCATTGCGAAACTGCAAATTGAAGATAAATACAAATACAAATTGACCTGTTTGCCAATTATGTAATTTTAAATTGCCCATCTATTTGTTCATTTCAAAGCAAAGATGTTAATAAACTAATGGTAATTTTACTAAAACAAGACCATTGTCTTCGCAGCTAGAGAATTGCGTTAATAAATTTACAGGAGACAAAGAATAGGTTAGCAACCAACCTGCAGCTGAAATTCCGTTTGCTTGTTTTTCATGTCCTTCAGCTGTTGTTTAGGGGAAATATCTACTGAGTCGACATCGATAACGTCCATTTTAAAAAGTCCTTCAGAAGTGTCAGGAACGGTGAAATTTCTAACCGGCAGCATTTGTACCAGGTGGGAAACTGTTTGTACCATGACTAAAATGGATAAAGAATTTAAACGTCGTTTAAAATAAAATTAATGTAATTATCTAATAATTAGTAATTATTTAATAGAATCACAGCATCTAAGCACAGATATGACAATATACTGCATTTTAATTATAATTATAATTACAAATACGATATTATTCAAAATTATTATTGTTATCAATTAAAGTATCTTAAACTTGGTTTAGCCCATACTCTCCTTACCGTCATTTATTGTCTCCATGGTTGGTATTGTTGTGCCCTGAGAAGCTCTGATGAGTTCAGAGGATTTACAAAGCAGTTCGACAGCTGCTTCCTGTTTAAATGATACAAATATTATAAGTGTGAGGAATAATCCTGTTTTACCCGTTACCCAACGATAGTTATTTCAATCGTGCATGAAGATAAAATCTTATCCTACCAGTTCAATAAGAAAGTCAGATGAAGACACTGGGAATGTGTCGAGTTGGACCAGATCGTGGATTTCTGTTACGATGCTGACGACATCATCCGGAGGCGCCTTGTCTCTCAAGGATCGGTCGACGTGATCTTTCAGACTATTTATCTATACAAGACAAAAAAAAACAGCATTGAAGGTAACGGTAAAAACGACATTTTGTATAAAATACCAGCTAAATGTATTTACAATCAATCTTAACGGGAAAAAAAATCTGCAAAATTTACAATAACAAACATTTCGTAATTTCATACCGATTGGAGAAGACTAAACGTCGTTTTTAAGGTGTTTTGCTTCTCTCTGTCATTGCCGTTCACTACAAAAAGAAAATTATTTAAAAGCATTATTTAACAGAAAACATAAAAAAGCAATGATACATTATCAATTGGTAAATAAACAAGTTCGTAGCGTAATGTAAATTCCAAGTTTTATAGGCAGTCTACGGATTTAATTTTTATAATATGCAAATCCATTCTATAATATTTTAAAATGTCAATGAATGTCGAAATATTTTCTTCTCCAAACGTACCGGCTAATATCATAGGTGTGGTTGATACAACGTTTCCTAGCATTGTATCTGTAAAATAATAATCATATTAAGTATTAGATTAGAAAAACTATTTTGCGTTCTCAATTTATCATTCCCAATATAGGTCTGATGCTCACTATATTTGGCTTTGTATCCCAGATATTTAAATTTCATAATAATTAGTAGAGCGAAGTGTGCTGCTGTTTTAAACACTAACCTGTTGTAGCAGACATCGTCGTCGTTTCTAATTCCTCCAAAGCAAATGTTTTTACGTCTCGCGTAGAGTCTGCAAAGAAAATAAAAGTTCACTAAAGAACATATGGGTAAATAAATTTGCAAATCCATTGTCCGTTTCAAATTAGTTATGTCAAAAAGCTAGATATTGCCGTCCCAAAATCTGTAGAAGAAAAAATGATTTTTTATTAAAAATCTATTGATAAAGCATTACTACTTGTTTCTAGTCATTTACGTATAATTCAGGCAGCATTTAATTTATGTCAACTATGTTTCACTTATTAAAGTGCATATTAAAGTAACCCATTTGTATGAAGATATTGTTACCTGGGTTGGTAGAGCTGTACAGACGGGTAAACCAGAACGCCTCTGTAGTCTTTAATTGTGTCTTTGCGGTGTGGCTGTCTGTAGTTACTGCAGCTGATGTGGGGCTCTCAATTGTTGAATACTCAATGACTGCACCTGATGGAGATACACGTTTACAACTTTACATCTGATTTGTTGATGTAGTCAACGTGTGTCGGCTTTTCAAGGTTTAAAAATCAAGTTGATGTTATCATTTTTAATATAATTAATATGCGGATTTAGAATGTTCTGTTTCCATGCGGATATAGAAGGTTCTGTATTTGTTGCATTTATAAATTGAGTTAATATGTCGGATGTGTATTTGATGTTGCATTCATAATTGTTTCGGGGCAAATTCAACATTAGGTATAAAGTATAGATCTATACCTGTGCTACCGGATGTCTCAATGTTGACGCTACGCCCGTACATGCTGACAGCTGTGATCCGGATGATGTACTTTGTCGTTGGGAGGAGCTTCGTTATGTTGTAAGCAGTTAAGGAGGGAGTCGTACTGCAATGTAAAAAAAAAACAAAAAAAAACATTTGCCGACCTTTTAAAACCTGCTTTGAAAAGTCCATATTTTCAGGTTATACTGTTGATGACTATGTTTCATGCGTCTCAGTTAGCCAGGAGTAGCTTAAGCGTCGGTCACAACTCGCCGTACGTGCTTCTGCGTGCTGTCTACGTGCAAAAACGTGGACAATCGTACGGCATCCGTGCGTGGTGAGTACCACCTCCGTGCGGAATCCTACGGATTTTGGAGCACGCAGACACGCCGTAGAACGTTAAGTGCATGTAATACTTTTTCTACGTGCGGTCTGCGGATTTTCCACCCGTGCGTGCGAGTACGTGCGACGCGCGTGCCCCGTACAGCCTATGAGCGTGCAACGTACGGACTCCGTGAGTCTAACTTCACTATTCTCACGTGCAATTGCTGTACGGACAGCGCACGAAGCACGTGCGTGCCACGCACGGTGCTTGCGTCGTCCGTGCTTACTCCTCACTTCCCAGTTGACCTGCTCAATGACCACGCAGAACACACGTGCACCATACAAGGTGCTCCGCACGTGCAACGCACGTGCAACGCACCTGATTTCTACAGTATATAAAGACGACTTGACGGGCGACTGCCAACTGTCACTGTCTCTGCTGTCACTAACTGCGACTGTATCCAAGATGCCCAGGAAGGCTCAGAAGAAGACTGCCAGACAGGACCCCAAGAAGCGGGCCGCGGAAGACACCAGGGCGGCTAGTGATGATGAAGTTAACAGGAGGTGCACGCACTTACAACGTGCGAGTGAGTAAGGAAACCGTGCGTACGCCGCACGTGTAGGTACGGCCTGTACGCGGCAACGTAGCAATCGCACAGAGATCGTGCGTTGTAAGCACGTACAACTCACTTACCACTTGCGCAACGTACGATGCACGCAACCGCTGACGGCCAGGCGTGTCGTGCAGACCACGTACGTACACCTTGCGCAACCGTGCGAGTGACGTACTCCCTCGGCCGGCCACCCTACGTTTGCAGAAAAAACGTAGCAGACGTAGCCACGACAAAAACGTACGGACAAAAAGCACGCACGGCGAGTTGTGACCGACGCTTTAAAGACCATGCTTGTACAATAAGATCACCCAGCTAACGTTAACTAAATTCAGCTAACGTTAACTATCAGACCTCAGTCTAGCTCTGACTACGGTCGGAATAACATGTAGAGGCCTGGCTAAGATAGTAACCAAGACAAGTTACTCTTCAAAAAAGTTTAAAATGTATAGGCAGCAGATATGCAATTGAAATAAGATTGTAAGAAGTTAATCCCACCTAATCCAGATCCCACCTAATCCAGAATTTAATGGCAACACTGGCTTGCCAAACTGTCTATTATTCCGTAAATAATTCATCAGGTTGGTAAACGACTGAATAGCAAAGTTCCTTCTATCACAACGATTTATTTTTTTAAGCCAACGTTTCGATGACCTTCTGTCATCTTCATCAGGGCAATACTGACTGGTTTACTGTGCACTGACACTATATGTTGCTTGGTGCATTAACAAATCTTATATCAAAATTTTTAACAAATCTTATATTATATATAGAAACACTTAACATTTGGAACCGCATATTTCGCTATGATGTAATAATGCCTAGTGTGTATGTCACAATTACACTACGTTCCGGAACGCATTGTAAACAGACAAAACTAGTTTAAGTGCACTATGAACTATGTTACACCTTCAGTGCACTATGCACCAAGCAACATGTAGTGTCATTGCACAGTAAACCAGTCAGTATTGCCTTGATGAAGATGACAGAAGGTCATCGAAACGTTGGCTTGAAAAAATAAATGGTTGTGAGAGAAATAACTTTGCTATTCTGTCTATTATTGATAGACATTGGCTTATAATTTCTTGTAGTTGTACAGTTGTAACTGAGCTCCAACTAGCATAACTTATCCTGTTTTCTTCGGCAGCCAAAGGACACCAAAATTGCACGACGTAGTTCTAGACACTTACTATCAAAGCTAATTCAGCTTTGAGGAAGATATTTTTAAGTTACAAAACAAATATCTACACTTAGACACATTTTGTAGGACTGTTTACAAAGTTTAAATTTGAACACAAGGTTAGTTTTCCAGAAATTGAAGGTTGCTGATAGTAATTTCCTGTTTATGTGACTAAGTTACAATTATCTTGATCATTCTGCATGGTTTAAAATTCTTACTTTGAAAACCAGTACAGAAAAATCGTTAAACAAAAAATTGACAGTAATTATGCTAATCTATCCCTGTCATTGTTTTAGGTGGCTGGACCGTCTGGGATGTTTATTAGTTTATGTGGTTATGGTGGTCAATTCACTTTTCAAGCTGCTGGAGAAGTGGGCAACTGGAGGAGTACTTGTTTATGGCAGGACCCGGGGTCCTCATTTCTTTAATTTAAAAAAAAAATTATTTGGAACTTGTAAGTATAAATCCGTTTTTTTACTATGATGCCGGCTTTTCTGTCATTGAAGAGTTCTGAATAAAACTGAATGCTATTGACATTTAATTCATAATGTAACCTTTCATTCCCAGCTATTACCAAGAATTTGCAAATATGAAAATAAAGAAAACCGCTAAATACTATTAGAATTCATGAAGGCAACTGTTGATGGTTTTGTCCGCTTTACTTTGTACACAACGTTTTATTTTATGTACATATTGTGCCTGTAAACTCACCTAAAGTGCATCTCATCCAGGCTTTCAGCTTCTAGTACCTCAAGATGGTAAGAGACAACAGCTGCGACAGGTGGAGTCCATTTCACATACAGCCAGGTGGAGGAAACCTTGTGAACTTTCAGATCGGATGGTGGATCTGTGCCTTCACAATAAAAAAGAGAAATCAATTTAATACATAGATATGCAAGTATCTTTATCAAGTTTACCTCACCGGATAATTAATCCAGATACATGATGATGATTATAATGCAAGTCTATTGTACCCCAAATTTTTGTACTAATGTAGCAAGATACTACGTTGATCACTAACCTGTTGTGCCGCTAAACGTTATTGCTCCGCTTCTCCCAAAACGACTGACCGCCGTCAAGCTGAACACATTCTGAGTAGCAGGGACCAGGTCCTGGATCAGATAGTTATCGCTGTTACCAGGAAGGGTGACAGAACTCGTGGATCTTCGGTTCCTGTGTCCTTCTGTGCTGGTAAACTTGAGCTCGTATCTCGTAAGCTTGGCAACTGGCGGGGTCCAAAACAGGGCCAAACTGTTGTAGCGTATGCCGTCTACAAATAGACTCACCGGAGGGTCAGTGTCTGTGGATTGAATGTCAGAAGCAGTTACAGGTCGTCTTTATTACAATCTGTAGTAAGTACTACCTCAGTATATCGTTGTTAACGTTTGCCTACATATTAATACATATTATGTACCTTCGTCCACAGTACGATATGTCATGAAAAAATACCTAAAATAAATAAAAGAACAAGTTTTATAATTCATTTTAAATATGATTCTTTATAAATGATTACCTGTTACAAACGGTACTTCTATTTGAGGTCCCTCAAAGAACGCGCTAACACAGCTTACTGACACCACGTACTCTGTGGCAGGAACCAGAGAAGTAAAGTTGGCAGAAGTAGCTGACTGTGACAGATGCCGTGAAGAAATAATGGAGCTAGTTTCCTTGTCTGTCAGCCACGCCCTGTACCCGAGCACCAGCGTGCGAACAGGCTGTGACCAGTGGACTAGGACTGAATCTTGGCGAGCCAGAGTAATGGTGATATTGGTAGGAGGTGGGAGGCCTTTAGTTGGAATAATAAATAAGTGTCGCTTCATGAAAACATTGGCATGGACTACAATTTACAAAGTAGATTTGTTCATATCATAAGTTTCTAATTATCTATGATGTACTCAGGCGTTTTATAGTCACCTGCTTTATAGTTTTATATCACTTTTTCTGCACTCATTGTTGTTTTCAGTGTCTGTTTGCAATTAGCCCTCGGGCATGAACATGCAAAAAGAAAAAGAAAACAATTGTACTCAAATAAAATGTTTAATGACATCTTTGAAATGTTATTTTTAAGATAATATTTTTTCTTCACCAGAATTTTTTCATAAAGATAATATGTTTGTTCTCACCAGTTATACACTCTATGCTGACGTTCGCGCTGTCATTCCACAGTCCAAATGAAAGAACAGATATAGAATACCGCACTCCACTAAACAAACCGGGTATTGTTGCGTTAGTGTTACCAGCACTGCGGACAGATGTCTTCGGAGAATGTTGAGAGAACCCTGCAGAACATCAATATTTCCTCTAATTACAATGAACTACAAAGCGTAAGAAACACTTTGTTAAATACTTGCATGAATAAAATGTATTTACAATTGGTGTTCATCATGAAAAACTGTGCAAAATTAACTTATTCATACCTACCATACATAACCAGTACATAATTTAAATAAAAACGGAATGATGTTATTCTATTATCTGGTGGATAATTACCCTGTGTAGGTATGTAGATAATACCGTATCCCACTATGTCAGCGTCAGGCTCGCTCCAAGTGATGGATATTGAAGTAGTTGTTATAGTCGAGCACGAGAGATGCGAAACCGGATCAAATCCTAGATGTAAAAGTGATTGAAAAACATCCTGGCAATTCAATGTTATCAAAATTGTATTCATCTACTTACAACTAATGATTGCTGAATAACAACAGAACAATGAAAGCAACGTGTTCCGTGATCACAGAACAATGAAAGCAACTTGTTCCGTGATCAATGTTTACATAAATCATAATTCATTCAAAACATCAAAGACTTTAGAAGTGTCACTTTAACCCTACCTAGA